TAGGGGTTTTCCCCCCATATTGTCATAAACTGCCATTCTGCATGTGTTTTTACATAACCGCAAATAACCTTATCAGACATTCACTAACCACTGATGGAAGCATTTTAGATAGGTGATTGCAGAGGTAGAGAGGCTATCCTTGATGGTGACATGGGAATTTCTGGGGAAAATGGGGAATCAAGAGATGAGAGTATAGTACTTAGACAAAGAAAGTCCACTAGGACTGTTGTTCCTCCCTGAATAAGCAGTGTGAGCATCATATATGCACATGTTTCCAATTAAGATTCTTAAGTCCCAGTTCATATCCATCAAATCAAGATAAACCTCTCCTCATCCTCATATATTCATATCCCAAAGCATCTTTAATGTAGGCCTTGGAAGTACTATGTGCACCACTCATTGATAAATCTGAGTAAGAACCAGTATATATTTGGTGCCACATCTAAAAATGCCCTGAGAATAGGAATTTATTTAGTTAGACATCACAAGATTGTTATTCTATGACACACATATATTTTTGTACCTTGTTAGAGTAACTAAGCACCATTTTATGGCTCTGTGTTGATGTTTCAAGATGAACAGTGGAGGCAGTTGGGAATTAGGATTTTTGATGGACAATGTGACATAAACCAGATTGAGACTATAAACTGCAGTCCATGGTCTAGCCACTCCCAAATGACCTTTATTTGGCTTTTTAAGAGTAATGATCTGCTGATGCCTTTATTTAAGTTGGTGTGTCTGACTGTTCTATTTCCAGTCTCCCTTTGATGCTATTTTTCAAGGTTTCTGGCCTTTTCTCATAACACTTTCTTCTGAGACAAACTTCCTTGGTGTCTACATTTTTTCCAGCTCCAAGACTCTCTCTCTCTCTCTCTCTCCCTCTCTCTCTTCTCCTCCTCTTTCCTTTCAAAGCTATCATTGTCACCTTTTATCTTTTATGTTTTAATACCCATACTTAGTGTTTGATACCCTCATCTCAAAATGAATGTTGACCTCCTTTTCTGAAAACTAAATGGAAGACTGTTCACACATGACTCAAGTCCATCATTTGTTTAATTTTATTCTTTAGCCTCAGATATTCTTCCATTCCCTTCTATACCTATTACAGTCTTATCCATTAAATTGTACATCACTGCCCCATGAAACCTCTCCTAGAGCCTAATAGCTATGTATAATGCTTCCTACTCATGAAGTCTTGTAAAGTAGGCCATTCTTAATATCCCAACACACTAGGTACTGTACATTCTGTGTGTTAGCCCATCTTCTCTATAATCATGCCTATTAAGCAGATATCCCATTTCACAAATTAAGAAACTAAAGTCCAACACTGAGTAGATGGGAATTCTTGTTGTTTTATATTTTTCAATATATGTTATTTTTTGTGCATTTCATACAATACATTTTAATAATATTTAGACCTTCTTTTGTATATGCACTCCTCCATATCTTCCTCACCAGATGTCATCCATTCTGTGATATATATATTAAGACCTATTGAGTCAAGTTTGTGTCCCCAGAAGTGCCTCAGTGTGAGTTCATCCACTGGAGCGTGGTCAGCCTATCTAGCATCACTCCCTTAGAGCAGACCAACTTTCCAGAAATTCTTGGTTTGGGCTTTTGTAAAATTGTGCTCCTCAGTATTCTGACTACATTCTGACTGCTCTGTTTTGGTTTGTCCCTTTGACTCTTCTATTTTTCTCTTCATATTGTCACTGTTGGTCTCTAAAGTAGCAAAGTGTAGAATCAAAGGTAGAATTTCATGTTTATTGAAGGGCCCTTTGATCTTCAGGTTGGAGTAATCATAGTGAACAGATCCCTGCACATAACAGATCACTGAAGGAATGTTGAATGGGAAATAAATGAGCAAAGTACATATATATGTGAAAAACTTGTAGCAAATTAAAATATAATTCTGTACAGAAAAGGAAAACATGTAACCAATTTGCAGCCCAAATTTAGTTTACATTTATTAAAACACTTAGTAAATTGGAGAACAGCATCCTTTTACTATTTCTGATATTTACGGTGGAAGAGCACAGGAGCTACATATAAGTACCAGGTCCTCTGGATCCATCATATTCATCAGTATTTTACAGCTTGCACAGCAAGTAGGAGTGTAGAACCCGACAGCATACCTTATAAGTTAAAAGCAGAGTCTCCAGAGATGGACTGTGTCTGCATTTGAATTTTGTTTTCACAGATGGTATCCTGAGCAGGGGATGGGTAATCAATGCCAACAAACTCTCTTGATACTTGATCAAAAGCTGGGGATGTAGTTTAAACTGTAAACCCTCACAATCCTCTCAGATTTGGGCTATCTG